CTACAGAAGATTTTGTCACGTTCATGTATGGCTCGGTTGACCCCGAATCTTAATCAGTGGTCTCATTTCGGAAGTGAATTAGCGGTTTAATTTTACTTTGCGACGAGGAACGGTGTAATTTAAACCTCGGCCTATTGTTCGGGATTTAATTTCTTTTGCTATCATCGCAATTTAACGATATCGATAAAATTATATCGTATTGTTCTAATTTAAAGGTAAGATCGATTTAGCCATTTCTGGCGGGTAACACTATAAGGCATTTTAAATAGACATGATCCTGCCCGTGCTAGTCGGTTTTTAAGGTACGTTCTCCCTTTTGCTTCTTGTTCCTTCAAACTTAATTCTGGTTATAATTCTTAGGCTTCTCTCTTTTTATGTCTCCCTCTCTTTCTTACATTCCATTTTTCTTTCTAGATAACCCCTTACATTGTCGCAATGATCAACCAATCACTGACCAACTACGTAACGACGAATGACGTCACATTACGTCCAGTCTAGCTGCTACAGGAAATATCCGGTGCCGGTCTTCATAGCTAATGATGAAATCCGGTGGATGGATTGACGCTTAGCAGAACTATGGATTCTGTACAGTGTCTCCAACTGGTGCGCTTACCGTGTCCAAGAAAGTGGTCCCTCAATTTCCGCCTGCCAACATACCAAAAGTGTCATGCCGTCGCTGGTCGCGACCCTGGCGGCGTCCCTGGCAGCGGTGGTGGGTGTTGCCGACGCCTGCTCTGAAGCAGGTTGCTCTCCAGTGTGGCAGCCCACGGAAGCTTCGGCAGCCAGGAGTTGGGACGCCGCGGCGACAGCGCCATCTCGCGTTCGCTGTCGTGATTTTCGCTAGCATTTCTGCGACCAACCGCCAGGGTCGCGATCGTCCGACAGCATAAGGCACCCTGGCTTCTGTCACGCAATTTGTTGCCATTTTTCGGAACCACTTTTGATGTATGGGACGCTAAAAAACACTCCAGTCGAAGAACCGTTCCAGGAACCATAGCAGAGCGCATGTCTGTGACTTCTTGGATAACTTATAACAATATATTGTGTGGAATTTATTGCTCGCATTTGTGTGAAAAAACGAATACGTAACAGGCTAAGTTTTTAATTAAAATAATTTGTAATCGGCATCTGTAATTTCTTCATTATTATTTGGTGACTGAAATAAAGACTGGCATATTTTGATGAGCTTGACAAACGCCGGAAACCTAGTTTTTTATGCTAAATGGTTGGTAAGGCGAGTGTGTGTTGTCTTTTACGTCATTCTTAAACGAGTTGAAATTATTTAAGCTTTTACAAAATATTCAGAAGACATTCATTAATGTCGAACTTTTTATTATTATTTTATTATTCCGCCGTTTCTTTTTGGACGCGATTTATTTGTTATTTATAGAGTCATTAATGTAAGTAATTTGTGTATAGCCACTCTACCTATAAAATAACTTCACGCCGAATAAAATAAATCAGCGGCCAAGGAAAGAAACAATAAAAAGTTGAACACCAACGGATGCCTCTTTAATCTTTTTTTTTTATTGAAGCCACAAAAAGTTGCAGCGTCGGTGACTTCGGTTAACTCGCTTAATTACTATCTTCGAAATGCGTCTTATAAAGGCATGCGTCCTATAGTAGCTATTAGCGAGAAGAATTGCAGGTGGCCAAGTTTATCCCAGAACACAAATGCCAAAAATAAATTAGAAGGATTGACGACGAAACAAGTGCCTGTAATGGAATCACAAACATCGGAAGAAAACGTGCATGTCTCCCTTTTGATCGTTATACGATTTTTCTTGTTTTATATAAATTGAACAAATTCTAGTTATTCGTAATCATTCACCTCAGGGATAAAATATTTTGCTTTTATTAACCTTGAGATTTCAGTGCAACCAATTCAGCAACCTCGCACACATAATCATCGCTGTTACGTGGTTGGGGCGTGGCTATATACGAAACTGCGAAATTCCCATCTCAATGGGGAGGCGCTGGTTGATCTACTGAAGGCTTTTTATTTATATAGGTATATTTTTTTTTTGTTGGATAACTTATCGTTGTGCGATTCTTGGATGCATGCTGTTTTGAGGTTGCGTGTAAGCACATTTGCTATTTTCACCCTAAATTCATGGCTCCGCTGAGTGTCGTATTTACCTGCACCTGGTGATTACTCAATTCAGACTGCGAGCATACATATTTTTGTTTTGTTCGATAGCAGTCGGTACTTTGTTTCCAGTGTCCAGTCACTTGGCAAAAGCGTAGGGCTTTTGTAAACATATCTTTATTTTTTTTTTATTTCTTGATGCAGTAGGCCGATTTTTTTTTTATTGCGTTCATGAAGTTTTTGTTTTACTGATTCTTCCTCGTGTCTCTATTTATTTTGCGGACCATGCTTAAATTTATACGATTTAATCTACCTACAATGTGCAAATCACGTCAAATTATGCTGAGCGCGATTTAGTCGGTTATGAGTGTGCGCGTGAGTTCTACACGTGAGACATGGAGTCTGGCATTTAAGTAGGGTCTGATGAAGTGTCCGAGCTTACTCAAAGCTAGCTCACGTTTTCTTACTGCGCCTATAATAACGGCAACACTTTATTTCGGAGTCGATTGATTATGCGGTTTTTGTTTGCTCGTCTCTAGTGCGAGCTCCGACGTATTGGTGGATCTGAGTTTACCCTTATAGTTAATGAACTATCAAAATTGCACTGCATACCAAAAGCGGTCTGCACACTAAACCAGGGGACAACTTTCCGTGGCAATATAAAAAAAAAGAAAAAAAAGTGCGCATACATGTCTCGAGAAATTGAGGGAGAGAAGGAGACCGGAGCGCGAGACGACGTCAGAATGCCGAGCTCTTATTGGGCCGATTAGTGGGTAGATGGAAAGCTATAGCTGCCTTTGTCTCGCCACTGCACTCGTCGTATCCGTTACGACGCGGAACGCCGGCGTCTGGCGTTTGGCGTTCGCGTTCGAAAGCGTTCTACGAGTGCGGCGGAGACAAAGACAGCTATATAGCTTTAGGCCTACCCACTAATCGGTCCAATCAGAGCTCCGCGTTTTGCGCGCGAAGCTCTCGCCTCCTCGTCTCCGTCAGTTTCTCGGCGCATGTAGGAGCTTTCATTGCGCTCTCTGAAAAAAAAGTTGTACCCGTCTATAGAACATTCTAATCATTACCTCTTGCGCGCTGACGTCTTATACTGATCTGCGTAAAGCATTCTGACCATGCGCAGTATGATAGCCCTCGTCTGCCCATTATCAGAACCTGCGCAAGTTCTCACAACCCAGTGACGCGGGATTTTTCGCCTGGGTGAGAAGCGAAAGGTGAATATATGGTGAGTTAGAACGGGGCAGCATTCTCGCGGAGTCCAATATTCTCACGGCTCACGGGAGGTTATCTCATGTTTATTTTCACAACCCCATTCCTTTGTGAAAGGTTATATTACGATGCGTGTGTGTAGAAAAAGAGCGGTGTCTCCTGTCATCAATTTGCGCTTAGTTGCTGTTATATACGGCGTGCACGTTCGTCTGCTCTTCGCTCGTTGATTAACGTGCAACCCCCTTGCTATCCACTGCGGCAAGGACGCGTTTTAAAACCCTTGGTCTCCGTGTACACTTGCGACTGCGCATTCTCCAGAGAAGCAGATGTGAAAACATAGAAATCGAACGCATGCACTTCGATCGCAAAAAAAAAAAAAAAAAGCAGAAGAAGCATTGAATAAAGTTTTCATATGTGCCTATATACGCTGATTTACTGCAATGTCATCGAGCGAATCGGTTTGCATGCAGAGTCGGAAGGAAGGGGTTCGAGTTCGTTTTGCCTCTATACACCAAACTTCTCAGCGAGCTGTCCTGGCCGTCCTTTTCTTTTTCTTTTTTTATTATACTACAATGAATTCTCCCTTCATAAGATTTCATGCTTAATAACAGTAATCAGGGGGAGTGCGACAACCAGAGTCAAGCGAGTGCCATGGTCGTCGAACCAGAAGGGGCCTTTGAATATTTCCCAGATCTTGAACGCCGGCCAAAAAGCGTTGGAAAGTGGCCTGGACCGACCAAAGAGCGTAATTTCCGTCCGCTAAAAATGACATGCACGCCTGTCTGTTATAGGACAGGCCTTAACACGGTGAATGTCCCAGAGGAGATCGTGACCTTGTTATCGCACAAAGCAAACACCTAGGAAAGGCTCGATCACAATGATCTTCAACTCGCGTGCTCGGCGGGGAGACACGCACGCCGGCGGTCACTCTGTTTCCTTTCTTTTTCTTTTTGATTTGTCAGCAGCGCCCAGGAAGTGTGTAATAAGTTTCTCCGCCTCCAGAACGATATCTTTATGCGCTTATATTGTGCTGGAGCACCACGGAAAGCAGTGAGCCGGCGTGGGATGATATATGGCACCCCTAAAGAACCACCGTGCATGTTTGAGTCTTACGTCTGAGAGTGAGATTGCTTTTTATTCATCCCCGTCGCACGTTTATAATTACTTAAATCTGCTGTCGGTAGTGCTCAGACATGGTACAAAGTACACTCTGTTCACTACACGCACGACAAAATTACCCGTGAACACGCGTCAAGCACATTCGAATCCCGGTTGCCTCGTATACGTTTGTAGGCTTCAAACATGTGTGCCGAAAGATTTTTTTTTTTTTGTACGTTTAAGGTGACAGAATTGTTATACAAGGAAGAAAGACGCCTGAGACACTCTCTGTACATCGTCTTTTCTGCAATGTATAAGGCGTGTGGCCGCTTCGCAAAGGTTTAAAGCAAGAGATACAGCGTTTCAACTCCAACGCGAGTTAACCCCCTGTCTCCCGGGCCACGCACTCGCGCACCATCGAAGACTTCGCGACGGCGAAGCATCATCGATGACAGCGAGCCGCCGGAGGCGGTACAACAGTAGGCTACTCCCCGCTCCCGCGGCTCTAAAACCTGCTAGCGGTTATCTTATACGCCGGCAACGCACCCCCTTCGCATCCTGGCTCTGAATCGTCGCAAGGACAAGGTGGGACACTCACGTTGCGGTCCGGAGGAGAAGCGCCATGAGCACGACCACGACCAGGCTGGCCGCTGTCCTCCGCAACAGCGCGTAATCCATCGGGCTTGCCCGGCCTTCGGCACCGCGACGAGCCGGCCCTGTCAGACGACCAGCGGAGCTTCTTCCCCGGGTCTCCGAGGGCCCGGCGGCATGGCTTCGACTGCGTCGTCCCGTACGAGTACGCGTTGCCCCCTCTCTCGCCGCTTCTTTTTTCGGCAGGGCTACGCTGGAGGGCGGAGTCGCGCAACGTGCCTTTGCCGCGCCTCCCCCCAGTCCCCTCCCGGGGAAGTCCCCCCTTCTTCTTGCTTCTGGGGCTGCTGTGTCGGCTTTTACGGCGGTGCCGCCGCACCGCTCACGTCGGCTGCGGCCTGCTGTCGCTACCGCCCGTGTACGATCGCCGGGGGTCCTCACGGTTCGGACGTCTTCTTCTGCGGCGCCGTTGCAACGGTAGATTGGGTCATTCGCGTTGACAGGTTGAACGTGTGCGTGGGGTGTCTCCCCGTTGAAGAAGCCTGCGGCAGTTGTCCGCTTTGGAGGTCCCAATTGCTGTGAACCTGTAGGGAGCGATGTTGTTGTTTTCTCTCCAGTACCCGATAGTTGTCCGGTTGCTTGAACCTAACAAATATCTGTTAAATTGTATCTTGAAAATGAGTTATACCCGGATATTACTGTAAAATGAGCAAGTGCTTGCTTCTTTCGACAGTAATGCGGGACTGTCCTGCCCTGTCAGATCGTGTTCTTGCGGTGTCTTCTCGATGTGGACCTTTGAAGAGCCTTCGTCTAAATATTCGCAAGAAAGCCTTCGACGAAACGAAACGTCCTCGTGAAGTGTCGTGTCTCGTGGAAAGCGTAAACCGATGTTGAATTTAAAATCGTCTACGCCCTTTATGCAAATCGGTAGCGATTACTTTCTTGGCGACGCTGAGTGCCCAGTGGCACAGAGTCCGGAAGCCCTGAATTCCTTCTTTAAATGCATCGTACAAGTGTGCAATGAAGATGCCCCGTCGAGGAGATAAGGAGACCTCCGGTATCTAGAGGTCTGCTTTCGTACCCTTACGTCACGTCACGTGCAACTTTGTTTGTGGGGTTTGTGGGTTCCTTAGGCTCACTAACGTTGCCTTGTGGTCGTTCCATGAACGTTGTATCTGCAAGTTTTCCGTGAGCTCATAAAGAGCCTTTTCAAAGTGCAAACATTCACACTATTTCTCCCGGAGCTTCAGCTTTTAAAATTATTACATTTTTGTTTTGATGTTGTTGTGTTATTTCTTTATGCAGGTGTGGTACTAACTATTCCTGATTGACGTTTGGCGGGTGGTGTACCGTGACAGTTGACTTTAACAAGCGCAGGTGCAGGGCTGGCAGGGTTGGGTGAAGTGAGCAAATGTCTGAACGGCGCTTGTTTCCCTAAATCGTTTGCTTGCCTTCAAGTTGTTGCCCTTTCGCCTTCACTTCTCAGCAGGGCATGCCTGATGTCCAACGCGTTTGTAAGGGGCTCTTCTAGCGATCTTCAGGCGAAGCGGCGTTCTTGGCAAAATACTGATTTCGCTTCTTGTATAAACGCTTTTTGCACTCATTTTCGATGTACCCTACTGGGTGTCGAGACAGCACACAGCGAGTTCTGCGATATCCCTGGAGGTATGCGCGGGTGAACCTTCAGCTCTGTTTCACGATGCCGTAAGTATTTGATGACTGACAAGAGTGTGAGCTGATTTGATTTCTTCGTTTGCACTGTCACGAAGGGCTGAGGTCTGCGGTCGGCTGTCAGGCCCCAGAACCATGGATCCTGCGTGGACACATTGCAGCTCGTGTTAGATTTGCGACAGATAGATTGACGGTTTTCTTTGTTAGGACATTGAGAGATGTGTTTTAGGCGTATATGCTGATTATATTTTCTTATACAACCCTGCATTTAACCAAACATGAACTCAATGGGAATCTGCTTTGCTTTGTTTTTGTTAGCTAATTCTGCAGCTCTCAATATTTTACGCATTATATTCATGCTCAATATTCCTATTTAACTTGAAAAAAAAAATCGTTTAAAGGTTTAAACATTTTCCTGCGTTTAAAAAAACAACTTATAAAGAAGTTAGGATATAGTTAACTTAATGGCAACACACGATTTGTCAGAGAAAACCTTGAATTTTCTTTTTCTTGGCCCAAATTCTGCTAATATACACAGTGTTCACCTTGTTGTTTTCCACTGGTTTCACTTGGCTGTTGCTAAACGTAGTGCAATATTTTCACTATATTATCGATAAATATTGCAAGTCGATTTGACTTCCTTATCAATTACAAATGTTTTGAAATGTGAAGATTTCTTGGGTTCATGACCAGTAACTAATTGTACCAAATATGGATTACCGACAAATCTTGCGTTGCGATTCGTAAGAAATAATAATAGAAAATAATTTCTTCCTGATTTAACACTGTCTTAGTCCTTTTTTGTATTTCTTTGATCCAACTTTAAGACCTTCTAACTAAACAGGGATATCGCAAGCAGGCTAGAAATGCAGTACGGCGTACTTTATATCATTATATGTCGAACAAAGAAAGATTAATGTGATGCGTTCTGCGTAATTTCTAAAAGGGAATGGAGAAATCTTTAGTGATAAATGAGTGATTATTTCGGGCGCAGCTCGCAGGCAGCCTTTGTTTACAAACGTGAAAGAAAGGAAGATTTGTTTTTGTACTCAATAATCGCTCATGATTAGAACTTACTGTCGTCAGATACCGAGACATGCGATAAATATAATGCAGTACTCATTGTTCGTCAGATTGAGAGTATCTGCCTTGGTATGCTGTTGTTTCAGGCCTGACCCTTTTGCTGCGGGGCTGACATATTTATTCTATCTCGTTAGTGACGATTTCATTCGAATCTTTGTTTATTCGCGCTAAGAGAGCTTCTTATGTAGATGCTGCGTGCCGCTGCAGCAGTGAAAAATGTCAAAATATGCTCTTGCTTTTTTGATTTTCAAATTATCGTTTATTGTTAACATGGTTAACACTAAAAGCCGTTAAAATATCTTACCTATTTTTCTATTTATTCTCAAAATGAAATTTCTCCAACAACACGTGTTGCTCGTGATAAAAAAATGATTGAATCGCTTATTGGTTCGATTAAAAGTGGCTCATATGGAAAGAAACGATGACTGACGGACAGTTTTGCTTTTTGTCGACTGTGACCCTACATAAACAAAAGGTACCCCACAAAACACCGAAAGTTAAGAGATATATAACACACTAGATACATTAAGGGTGCGATACTTACCGACGCGAACACACCGTGTACCCTCTTGTAATCGGTACGGGTATCGCCGCGAACTGCGGAGCACTGAAGGGTACGTAGCAACCACGTTTTGTTGTACCAACGTAGCGTGCGCGACAGACATGCACAGCACGAACGTTTCCCGACGTAACCACGGTGTCCGGGAACACAGTTGGACCAAATCGAACCACAACAATTCAAGCCTCGTCTGGCTTGTCGACGTTGCGTCTTCGTTGTTGGATTCAGCACCAGAAATAACGTAATAACACCGTCGCCCAAGTTTTCCTTCGAAGGCTAATTATGGCTCTCTCGTGTTTGGTACTTGGTCGAAAGGCGCCATGCTCGTCTGCGAACTTCGGCGGCGAAGCAATCGAAGTCTTTTTGTAACCTTAGCAACATTATCTCTCAAGTCGTTCGTGGTATCCTTGAGTCTGCCTGGAGGTGGATCCTGAAACGCACGACACTTCGCAAACGACCGCCCGTGACTTGGACGCGTTTAGATTCACTAGTCGTTCGACGTCGATGCCCTGGCTGTGGCTTGTTCGACCCGAAGTTAACTTCAACTACAGACGATAACTCCTAAAGGCACAGGCGCGAGATTTCTTGGAACACCAGACACGCAACACTCAAACTCGCAGCGGTATCCTCAGAAGTTGATCAGGGCGATGCACCACACGTCTGCAAACCATACAGTTGGGCAACGTAGTGGCGGCACCAGTTGCACGAGTAAACAAAATTTCATCCCGTAGGTTGCCGCTCACGGTACGTCGCCACGTTGTGCACACAGAAGCTCATGGTGCTCGGAGAGAGAAGGCGGCGTTTTCTCCACGTGACGGCGGACATCGGTTGCAAGGCGGCCACGAAGCACGAGAAACGAAGTTTCTGCTCTAGGATCCGAGAAATGAAGAAAAAAAGAACGACGGACAAAGAAACGGGAGCACTCTTGGCAAGCACTCGATGCGAGCAGAATCCGAGGAGCACTGCTTACTCTGTGTTCTTGAAGACAGATCTCGCTCAGAATGTTATCGGATCCGCGTTCAAGTGGCCGAACAAAGAACTGTTCTTCGACTCCCTGATAGAGTTGTCTTTATCAAGGTAAACAGGTCGAGACATCCATGCAGGTGACGATCGTCGACGACGGGAGTTTCGAAGCTGCATCGCGTAGAGCGAGAACTTTCTATAAAGTCTGACGTATGCGTCGTCATATACATGGACGTGACGAGGCGCATTTACTCTTCGGAACCTGGCGACAAGATTCATTGTCCTGGGGTAGCAGAGCTTGCGTGAGCGTGGGAGCCGCATGTGGTTTACTTTGATTGGAGAAGCGTGTCACTTGGACGCTCTAAGTCAGGTTTTGATGGCTGTTGGTGTGTTTTCAAAACAACATTTAGCGACATGCGCTACCCTCTCTGGCGATGATGGTGGGAACCGCCAAGATCCGAAGAAACGTTAGGACAGTAAAGCGCATGTAGGTAACCATTCCACAACAATGGTTACCCTAACTAATTGCTGAATGCTCAATGATTTCGTTGATGGACAGAGAGATCACTGAACCGCACTGAACAATGCGAGAAAGGCTTTGTAGCTTCCGTAATGCAACTTTACCGTCCAGTTTAAGCTGGGGATATACCTCTCTAACATGTTCTTAGTCACCGAGCGGTTGGTTTTGTAACAAGGGGACGAGCAATAAAGTAATCAGCACTTCATTTTAAAACGAGTGATTTGGATTGATTTAGATAAGGTTTGGTTTGCAGGCAGTTAGCACGCAAATTGGTGAAGAGCAGCAGAATAACGTACTACTGGTCGTCATTCAACGCAAGTTCGGAAACTATAATCGACACTCAAAAGCTAACTGCCATTATTCTGTGTTGCTAGGAAAAAAGGGGTCAAGTGGTATAAAATAGTTCCAAGAAAACTGAATACATCAATTTGTCAGAGGAGCAAGGGGTAAAGAAACCTAAATTTGGTGAAAGTTTGTCTAACAGGCGCTATATATAGCACCATAAACGGTTTAAGTTCCATGTTTCTACGTTGGCGATAACGCTAAACTGGCAGAACAATAGAACATCAAACCTTCTGTTTAGGGCTACTTCTTTTGCAAGATTTAGTGCAAAGTAAGTTCTCGTGCCAAAAATAACGTGCTGCAACTGGAAGAACAATGGTTGGTTACAAAGAAAATGTTGATCCATCATATACATTAAAATAATAAAAAAAAAATGAAAAAAATGTGAACGCAGTGAAAGGAGGGGAAGGGCTTTTCATACCCTAGAAAAGAGCGTGCAAAATATCTTCTGGAGGGCAGAAAGACAACGACATATATCGTATTTTAGCCTCAATAAGTTCATCGTTGTATAATTCGCACCCCCTATAAGCAACCGTTTTCACAAAAAAAAAGGTGATATTTAAGTCGCTACTTTGTATAATTTGAAAAAGAAAAAAAAAAAAAAAGAAAAAAAGTGATATGTAAGTCGCTACTTTGTATAATTTGGACTTGTACGCTTGTGCGGTCGGCGCGGCGAAACGGAATTGATAAGCCCGCGTATCTGTACACAGTGATAGCGAATTATGCGCAAGTGGGAGCCACTTTCAATATTCTCACCAGCGAATCAAACAAGTAATATGACCCCCACAAAAAAATTGTTTTCCCCCCAATTTAAGGTTAATATTCATAGACAAAAAAAAATGCAGATGAGTCTCACCGTTCTCTAAGACACGCCGCCGAAAATTTTAGAAAAAAAAAAAAAACGCGCTTCTTTGGAGCTGCGTAATTGCCCGTTCTGAAATCGTTAGCTCCCGTTCCAGACAGGGAGCAAGTGTACACGCATGTATTAGATAACCTTGTGTGCTCACACAGCTCTCTTCATTTGACTGCCGAACGAGCAGAAGATAATTCGAGATAAGCCGTGGCGCATTTGCAATCAATTCTCGACGTGTAGTACGTCTTCTCCGATTGTATTCGCGTTACTATGCTTAGTTCCAGCTGAAGTCCAGACGCATTCGACGCTATACTAGGGCAATCAATCGATCAATCAGTCAGTCAGTCAATCAATCAATCAATCAATCAATCAATCAATCAATCAATCAATCAATCAATCAATCAATCGATCAATCGATTAATTAATTAATTAATCAATCAATCAATGTTTATTTTCCCCTTGTGCTAACGAACAGCTCGAAGGCCTACTGGGTTAAGCATACACAATGCTAATGGGACCATTCATGCAGCGTTAATAGCGCAAATAACTAGTCCTTTTCTGCTTGCGATTGGTTCACCGACGATAGAACGCACACAGAAACATAGACAACACCGTGATGGTGTGCCATAGCAGAGATGTGAACTGTCTGCATTGTTGTCTATTACGTATCGAGGCATTGTATAATAATTATAATAATTGCTGGCGCTGTAACGAAGCTATACAGATTGCCCATTCTGGTCGAGGATTTATTCCAATAAACGGAATAGTAAATCACGAATATCTGGTACTATAAACTAATATAAAGGTAAAGAGTAAACGTTA